CCCCCCCCCCCCCCCCCCTCTGTGTTGATTTGCACAGCATGAAATATTCATTTGTTTCCTGTGATCGGCAATTGTAATATATCTTCTTCCTCCTGCGGTATCGTTTTCTACTCAATTTTAGTCAATGTCTGCCACGTTTGCTTACTGTTTGTTGTCTTGCCATTGCCGTTTGCCATTGCCATTGCCGTTGCTACTCCATTTGCCACTGCCGAAAATTTCTAAATGTCCTTGCTCCATGTGGCAGCCGGAGGAGCATTGCCGATAAGCTATCATTTCACTTCCAGCCAGCAACCCGTTTGAATATTCTCTTCTCTTCTTGTTGCCAGAGTCAGAGCCTTGTCCTTGCTCCTTGGTCCTTGCAGTGCTCGCTCGAGCATCGAGTTATTGCGGTGCAAATGATTTGAATTCATTTATCATGTTTAATGCGGGCTTGCCAGTGCGCTGCTGGAATGTGGCACAACCATTTTTCAACGGCATTGACAACCCTCGCCACGCTCTACTTTAAAGACTTTGGAGCCAAGTCTGCAACTAGCATAATGGAGAGAGCATTCGAAGCTCCAACCACCCACAAAGCTTACTGGTTAATAAAATCATCAGAGAAAGGCAATTTGTAAGCCAGCAAGGATTTTCTTTTGTTTTGTGGAACAATGTGCATGCCTGCACCTATCGCCGCTGTCAGCTCTCGTTGAAGTTTTTTTAATTGGAGAGCTCTGGGAGTAGCAAAGATCATATATCTTAGGGGCTTGTGGTGCCAGTACAATGGGACTGGCTGTCATCCCTCATACATTTCTGAATTCTTTCCCAAGCACAAATCAATACGAGTCTATTTTTCCATGCAAAATTATGCATCATTTCCATCGAAGAAACTTCTTAAACAGGAAATCAAGTGGGAGTCAAGGCACTGCTTTGGCAAACCTGTTCAGCACGTTGCACAGACTCTTCCAACTCTTTCCGGAAACTTTGCCTTGACCAATTCAACTGCTCTTGACATCGAAGGGCTGGGATAGAAATTATAGCAGGGGGAGCAACACACACAGAGAGAGCGAGAGTCGCATGTGGCATGCATATTCATAAAATTGCAATGGAAAAACCCCCGTTATTCCGACAGCTCTGGCAGGAAGCTGGATGCAGAGATGGAGGGAGCAATGGGGCAGCAACTACAACGACTGCTACCCAAAAGTGAAAATCCACACGGCATGACAGCCACGACGCGGATCTTGGAAAAAGACGGCACACAGCTGCGACTCCTGCTACTGTGACTGGTGCTGCTCCTGGTCCTCGTCCCTCTTGTGCACTCGATCCCCATTCACTGGCATGGTGCGACAAAGAATCTGGTTATGTTTGCGACCGCATAGAAATCTGTATTTCACAGTAACTAAATGACAAAGGAGGCGGCCACAGATGCGCCACAGCCTTGGCCTCGGCCACAGAGTGTGCATTGTTAATACACACGACAATTCTCACTCTCTCTTTATCTCTGTCTTTATCCCTCTCTCTGCATGTCTCGCGCTGTGGCAGGCTGTGAAATTGCGCATACGCCACGTTGACGGATGGACGAGCCCCTTAGGCAAACAGAAAAAATACACACCAAAAATGGGAACAAACCCTTTTGATTAAAGTCCCATGTCCCAGCCCATTTTCATGTTCATTTCTCAGCAGAATAGACAAGAACTTCAAAGGATCCGGAACAGTGCTTTGAACACAAAATAGCCGCTGACCCGCTGTCAGATTTGTTTTTCTTTCCGCAAAACATAAAATAAATTGAAGTAGACTGTGGACAGACTTGGATCCGGCTCCGGATACTGTCTACTTGACTGTAATATTTTACTGTGGTAATTCCGAACTAGAGTAGAACTAATGTAGAATAGAATGGAGTGCTAGAGTAGAGTGGAGTACTTACCACCATGTTGTTGATTGTGAATGTAAGCTCAGCCCGCGGGCGTGAGGGCGGAGTGCTGCAGTTTGCTCGCAGAACGTCGCCGGGCTCGTAGCGCGTGTGCTCCGTGGACAGCAGTGGACGCTTCTCGGGCAGCTCTGCAAAAGGAAAGAGAATTGGAAAGGGTTCAACTTCAGCTTGTTGACTTGGCAGGACAATTCAATTAGTTGGTTTGGGGCACGCACTTCACCCAAACACACATTAATAGGAGCATAAGTGGAGACGGAAGCCCGTGTGCCGCCTAAGCTCTTCAATCACAACCGCACCGGGAGCACCGCTTCAGCGGAAGGAAGGATGGAGTTCGGAGGAGCTGGCCACGCTTAACTTTTTAATTAAGTCAACCGGAGCGAGGCCCCAGCCACCGCAAGACCAAGAGAGAGAGCAACAAAGTAACTAATGAAGAAAGTAATTTCCATGACAAAGGCGGCGGCAACTTTGCTCTTCCCTGGCCCAGCCCAGCCCATCCATGGCCATGGCTCAAGGCAACTTTCGCTACTCAGTGTATTTCTCTGTGTGCCTCGCTTTCTAATCCTGACCCTCTCTCCACCACCTCTCGACTTTTTGCTGCCTTGGCTTTGTGCAGATTTTGACCTTTTTGCCAGGCATCGCCCAATGCCCAATGCCTCTTGCTGCTGCCATTGCCTTTGCCTTTGCCTTTGCCGTTAGATTCTGTCTAATGAGGGTCAGTTTGTGCCGCAAGTTTCGAGTTTAATTTAGCAGCTGACCAGCCTACTTTGCACTTGGTTTTAGCTAGAACTGGTCCTCCCATCGCACCACCCTTTATTCGACTCATGTCATTAAGTTATTAAAGTTAAGGCTGCCCAAATGTTTGCCAACTATAAACTTTTGACTTGTGCAAAAGGCAGACGGAGCCCGCCATTGTGACTTAATGAAAGCCAGAATTAGCATAACTTTTGGGCCAGGCCATCCATTGCCACCCATTGCCATTCCTTTCACTTTCTTCCTTTCGGTCTGCCTGGCATCTTGGCATTTTCGCTGTTGTCCTTGCCGCGACGCGTATCGGCTGTACCCGCCGCAACTGAATGCCGCCTGGGCGCGGCACAGCTCGGCGCAAGGACAAAGTGTTTATTTTATGTGCCTCGCAGACTCTGAGCCACAGCCACAGCCAGACGCAGTCTCAGCCTTTCTGTTGGCTTCTTGGCCCGCAATCTGATTGCCACTTGAGCTCATTAACACACGATTAAACCTCAGAGTTATTTGCACCAAGGACTAAGGCGCTTGCCTAAGTTGCATAAGTGAATGGGTGCGCAGTGCGCACGGCTAAGTGGAGGCCACAATAGTGTTGCATAAAACATAAGACACAGCCACGAAAATTATGCTGCAACTCAATGAAATTAAAGCGAAAGTTTAGGCAAATAAGTTTTCTCATCTGTCCGTGTTCACTGGCTGTTAAAGCACTCACAAACACACACACGCATACTCTTATTATTTTGTGGTTTCAAGACGTATACGCAATATGGTTTATGTTTGGTGTTTAGCCTCGGCTTCGGACTGGTTTGCTGGTGGCTGTTGTAGTAATTTATTGTTTAGCCAGCAAGTTATTGGGGTTTTAGTGTCGACGACATTAGGCCAAAGCCACAGAGGCTTACACACACAGAAGCACAGAAGCGAAAAGAGGCAGAGGCAGAGGCAGGCCCACCAACGCCCAAGTCTTGAGGCTGGCTGCTGTCAGTGTGTCAGTCCCCGGCTGGCTTATCTCTCATTGATGTATGTTCTACTCTAGAGCCCCGGGACTAGCAGCAGCAGCACAGCAAAACAGGAGAGTAACCAATTAAATGCCACAGCATTTAATGAAACTTTAATAACTTGAGAAGCGGCAAAACAAAGGGCGTGGCATGGCATGGCGCGTCCTTGAAACGCTGCGGGGTATTTGACCCAGCAGAAGACCTCATGAATTTAAAGCAAATGCATGATCAAAAGCCTTAATCCCTTGATGCTAGTTAAGCAAAAGCGGCCAATTAAATGGGCTAAATGCGGCGTTAAATATAAAGCAGACGGGCACGCAGGCAGAGAGGCATTCAAGGAGCGCGAAAGCGAGCCCGCAAGGGCAGGAGGCAATGGCAATCTAATAAAGTCGGCCAGGACGCGGCAGACATCTAAATGTTTAATGCTGAGCAACAACCAGCCAACCAGTCAACCATCCAGAGAGACCAACCAGTCAGCCAGGCCACCAGTCAACCAGTCAGCCAAGCCTTAACCCCAGACGAGGTCTCAATCAAACGCACGCACACAGCAAAGACTCTGTCGAAGGGGTTGCTGGCTGGCTGGCTGACTGGCTGGCTGACTGGGTGGATGTGGATGTGGATCTGTCTGTGGCTGGAGGAGAAATAAATCGCTCAGCAAGTGGCATAAAAATCAGCCACTAAAGCAGAATTTAGCTGTCAGAGCGAATTTCTCGAATGCTTCAGGCCAAGCGGATATAAAGATTAACTCTGGCAAGCGATGGCTGAAGCCGCTGCTTCGACTGTTTGCTGATTTCGAGCAGATGAGCTGCCGCTTGCTGCCTGACGGTCGATTCAGGTCGTATTACGCATACGGCCATACGGCCCACTGTATGACCCACTAACCAACAGCACAAGTGGATTGCCAATTGTTGTGCTCTTGTGTGTCGGTGCTTGTGCCTGCCATTAATGCCAGCTGCTGGCTGCGCATCAACTAAATAATTGTTAAGCCGAAACGGACTGGTGCTCATTGCTTTTCATGACCCTGCCACGCTGATTAAATCCGTAATTCAGAGCGCGCCATGCCACGCTCATTTAAAGCGCATAAAGCCGTGAAATGCGTGGAGCACAGGTAAGACTCCCAAGTGACCCCAGACAAGAGCACCACCACCAATACCACCAGCTAGCATTAACCAACCACCTACCCACACTGCTCTCTCCCCATACAACCGGCTTATCTGGCAATGTCGAAATGGCCTGTTAATGACGCAATTTTCAGCGGAAAAGTTTCCCAACCAGCAGGCGGAGCAGCCAGAGCAGCTGCCGTGACCTTGGCCCCACACACACACACAAACGAATTGCCAAAGAGCCAGAAACTTTTCTACGGTCTGACCCGACCCAACCCACTCCTACGGCTACGGCTATGGGTAGCTACTCCCAAATCAGCTCCAAGTTGACGTAACGCTCTTAGCGATCAAAGGAGACTGTCAAAGGTTGCCGGATAGCTGATACACTCACTCTCGGCTGGCATGGAAGCTTTTAAGCGCACTTTAGGCCAATTTGGATGAATCAGCTTAGACATAGAGCGGAAAAGGGAGGGAAGAGGGAGAGGGAGAGGGAATGGGAATGGGAATGGGACAAACTGAGATGAAAGAGAAACAAACTGTGTATGAGGACTTACCGACAACTTGCATGGTGTCCACTGCTGTGGCTGTCGAAAAAAGTGGGGCATCGGCGGTGACTTCGCATGAAAAGTTTCCAGAGAGCCCGAATCCAACATTGCGTATGAGCACCTGGGTGGCATTCGAGCTGGTTACCTGTTGATCACGAAAGACGATAGTAAGAAAGTTTAGTTTCTAGTTTATTTAAAGTTATTTGCTCCCAAAACTAAAAACTAAACAATAAATCGTAGTCCCCCACCTGCCATCTCTCTCAGCTGTCCGCAATCTGACATCGAACCCAACAAAGAAATGCACTTAAATTTATTAAAACAGCTTAAAAAGCAAACAAATACACAGGATACACAGTGAACAGTCCAGAGGAATAAGCGACAAGAAAAACTGTCTGCAAGCTAAGTAAAAGTTTTCCACGGCACCAAAAAATAAAAGAATCAAAAAAAAAAGTAAAAAAAAAAGAAAAGAAGGAAACTAAAGATAAACTCGCTGGCACAAACTCAATAGCCTGATGAAATATTTAGCCAGATTCAGAGCAACTTTATCGAAGCTACGAAATTGCATGGACCCTACACCGCCCCTCCGCCCAGCGCCAGGCTGGATAAACTTTTTCAATAATCTAGCCAAAGTAGAATTACCCAAGCCCGAGACTCGATTCTCCGACCTCAGCTTCAGTCCCAGCCCAGGCCCCAGCCACAGCCACAGCAACAGCAACAGCAACAACCTCCTCTCATTCACGGCATGCGCGTGGCTGCAGTTTTTGCAGGTGGGCGACAAAACTCCGACGCAGCAGTCAAAAATTTAAATGAAAATTGTGCAGCAGATAGCCACGCGTTGATAGCGTCCAGGACGTTGGTATTCTCACAGACAGGCAGACAGACGGGCAGCCAGGTGTCCCCTGGCATGGCTTGGCATTTTTTGAATAACCGCCAATAACAATAAAACTGCCAAACTGAATATGCATGAGCGAAAAGTTTAAAATATACAATATAAATAAATGCAGTGTGCGCGCAATTAAGGACACCAAAGTAGAGGGTGTGCAGGTGCAGGAGTGGCGCCGTATGCTGTCGAATCTGGTTTCTTCTGTGTGCTGTCTGGTCCTTTCAGAGTGGAGGCCATTGACTGACTCAGTGGGCAACAAAAAGTGCAGCCATCGATTGTGCAATGCTTTAACGGTTTATTCTTTTGAAAAATTCGACTTCCCCCCCAACCCAGCCCCCCCAACCATGCACTCACTCACTCAATCAGCCAGCCAGCCAGTCCTGACTCTCTTTGATAGAACATCGTTTTTCAACTTTCCTTTTATGGGATACATTTTTTGTTTATCTTTTTGTCATACTTACATCGACGTGAATGCCAGGAAATGGAAACACTTTCGTATTGGGAAATTCACCGGGCGTATAGCGGTAAAACTCCAATTGACCGCGATAGAATTTCGCCGAATAGAGGGGGGCCCCATCCAGGTCGTACATGCAGCGCAGCACCACATGCTGGCCCCGTCGCACTGCCGGTGGTTCAATGATTAAATTGACATTGCGCAGCGCGCACTCCACGAGCTCTGCAAAAATGGAAACAAAAGGCGGAAAATGTCGATGGAATTACGTGCGAATGCAAAGCTGGAGGGAATTCCAATTTAGTGTATTTATTTTAATAAATTATTGAAATATTTCGCGAGAGCCGACCTCAGTGGCGACACTGACAACACATAAGCCACCGCTTAACTGCACCGCAATTGCTTGCATTTCAGTTATTGCATTTATTTGTTGTGCAGAGTGTCACTGTGGCAAATGTTACCGAAATGCCTCAAACGCCATGCAAATATGGCCAAAGATCAGAGCTTTAGTATTAAATGATTAAATATGCACACTTATAGAATACAATAAAATACCTAAAAACAATTCAATTAACCACAGTTTAACCTCATCATAAAGGGTATTCAAAGCTTCGCTCACAGCAGCAACAACACGTACTCCATCACGTTCGTGTTTGTTCAAATGTCCCCTTAAATGTTTGTCATATTTGTTGCTTAAATGATTTATAAATATTTTTTCAACCATGGCAAGCTTGAAAGATTATGGTATTATTTCATGGCTGCCCTTGTCCGTGCTCTACACATAAAAATGGTACTTTAAATATGGAAATATATTTCTGTTCTGGCAGATTGATGGCTGCCTATGCAAGTAATTTAAATCGGAATATACGGACAATCAATTCAACGAACGCTTAATCAAATCAGTCGCTCTTGCACATTTTCCCAGATAAATTCTTGGTCTCTAAAAAAACAAATCAATGTTAAAGCCAAACCAAAATGGCTTTAAGAATTCTACTTGAGAATTCCCAGCAGCAGCCTACAATTACTTTGGAAATTTTCTTGTTTGCTCGCCAAGTTTTATTAATTACCAAACAATCAACGCCAATTTCCGGCAACTTTACGGCCGCCCATTTCGGAGTCGTTTGTCAACAAATGCGTAGCATTATTCAAGGCGTCGCAGCGGAAGCTGTCCCTCCCTTCGACGCCGTCCCCTGAAGTCGCTGTTTTACAAGCATTTGCAGCGTTGCCAAACATAGCCTAACAAGGCACTCAAAAATATTTTATATCTTATTTGGGTCACATTTCATGCGGCTGTGCCCTTAAGAATAATGGCACATAATTTGCGGCTTTGCCACCAGCCGGGTGCACCCCAGCACAACATTTCAGGAAATGGAGAAAGGATGGATGCTGCCTCCCATGTAAACTGTAGAATGAAGATATGAGCCAAGTATTCGGAAGCAGCAGCCTTGTAAATCTCTCGCGAGGCGAATAAAATGAAATTGTTTTCATCTCTTTATATGCTGGCTGTGCGTAATTCATTACCTTTGGGAGTTGTTCGCAGATATCTCAGTTACTTCGGGGGCATGAGGAAAATTGGTATGATTTCCATTCCCACTCGAGCTTTGACCTTTAACATTTACTTCACTTGCTGGCTGTAAAATGAATTTTTACCCATTGACCTTAATGACCAGCGGTGCCTGCCAGCATAATTGGCCAGAAAGTGTCCTTGCCTGGGTACCTGTGTATGAAGACCCAGGCCAGTGCTCGACTTAAGCAGTACCTTAAAGTCCAGCCCGGTTCTAGCCTCGCATAAATATTTGCACACTGAAATCGAAAATTCCGCTTGTTTGCCAATTGAAAATTGGAAAGTGTAGTTGAAACTGCACACAGCATGCAGCACAAGCACAAGCACGAGCACGAGCATCCCCAGAGCAGCCAGTGCCAGTACAGGTGTGGTGGCAGGTATGGCAAGAGGAGCAGTAGCACCAGAGCTGGGTTGGAGCAGCGAAATGCAACCGCAAATACTTGCTTATTGCTGGCAAAACTTTGCTTGTTAGTGTTTAGGTTGGAGTGCAGCAAGAAATCATAGCACACAGCCGGGGTGCACAACTTCCAATAAGAACCAAACAATGTCTATAAATCCACACACAAACACACACCCAGACTCGGGAAGGGGAAGGAAAGGGACTACTGTTGGTGCTCGCAACGCAAAGATATAGTTGGAAAGGTAAAAAGTTTGTGCAAAAGTCACATATTTGTTCGATTTTGCTAAGTGCCAGCTTACAAGTGCCTTGTCCTTATCCTTCTGCGATTTGTTTACATGGCAGGCAACAAAGAGCGAGGCAACAGTAAGGGGATCGTGCACCACGGCTCCTGATGTTACCCGACTAGTTGGAGGAGGAATTCTGTGTTTCCTTCCACCCATACTAAATATCCATGCAGGCGGCACCCTTGCAGAGGGTATAACGATACCAATGGTCGTTAGGATATGTGCAGAAATCATTCATTAACTAGCAGGATGCACGGAAGAGTATTTAAAGTTTCAAACACCTGGAATCAGGCTTCATTCCTTTCTTGTTTGTTTCTATGCTCCTGTCGTGCTCCCAGGGCGCTCTCATTGTCCAGAAGGAGCCGCAGCACGAGAGAGAGAGAGAGAGAGAGAGGCAGAGTAAATACTGTTCACGCTCCTTTCACCGCACTTTCTTTTCGGAGGTAGCAGCAGGAGTGGCCGTAGCAGCTGCAAAAACCCCCGGCAGCCGCCTTGTTTATTGTTTTCCAATCTGGCCAGAGTGCGTCATTGCGGGAATTGTTCGGTCAGAGGAAACATCGGTCAGGTTCGCCGAAACCGCAAGTGATACTAAATTGAAAAGTTAGATGCCATTTTTTTCTGCCCGCCCCCAGGGTGCGCTCGATTTTCCTTCTTTTTCAGTCGTTCTTTTTTTTGCCTGTCCATTGGATAGTTTGGAAAAGTTGCCAAATTTGTTTGTGCTTTGCTGCTGAGACGGTGGGGGGGGAATTCCATTTGTTGTTTATTTTTAGTTTTTGGATTTTGGAACTTCTCCAATTGATGGAATGGATGGATTTCTGCAACCCGCCTTAAACTGTATTCCAATCGAGGAAGTTGGCATTTTGTATTGAAATGTTGTCTACGCTTAGATGAAAAGTACTCCAAGTGGGGTCCTGAAATCCCGAAAACGTGGCCCCAGCAACAGGCAGCAGCCAACAAAGGAAATGCAAACAAACCCCAAAACTGAGTGGGCATATTTATCACAGCCCAATAATTTGTAGAGTTGCTCCCACCCCTTTACGGGTACGGCAAGCCGAAAGCAAACAAATGTCGGGCCACCAGGCATGTAATACTCGTATCCGTGTGTGCATTCATGTACGTGCGTGCGTGTGGGGGAATGAATGTGCCTGTGTGCACGTGTGGGTGCGTATTGTTTCGGTATTTAATAGGCTTTTGTTGCAAGTTTAAATGGAAATTGTTAAGGTTGCCGCTGCTGCTGCTGCTGCTGCTCCTTGTCATGTTTACCAGGAGTTTCTTGAGCCTGGGCCTGTTCCTGCACCTCATTGCCTTGCTGCCTGGCAGCCCATTGAAAGATTTATCATTCAGCAGAAACCGAAACAGAACACAGCATGGTGGCAGAAGCGAGCAGGGAGTGGCTCTGGAATCTCGCAAGCTAAATGAAGCAATGGGGAAATGAAACGAAACGCATATGACGTGCCACCTGTCTGGGCCCGGGATGCCTGCTTGTGTTGACAGAGCCCACATAAGCAGGCCATACATATGTATAATGGAATTTCTAATAACTCCACCCCAACCAGTCTGCCTGCTGGGTCAACAGCATTTAAGAACCGTCAGCAGGCTCCAGCAGTGACAATAAGCGCTGCAGCAGTTCATTTGCTCGGACCACGGCACAAGAGTGGCTTGGGACTATGTCTCCCCGTACGTACGTGCACACTGCCAGAGTTTCAGTGCCCAAGTGCACTTAGTCAAGCATCGGCTAACATGCACTTTAACAGCCCCAACCATGGGCCAAAGCCCAACCCAACACAACCTCGGAGAGGTTTGGTTCATTCGAAAGCCAAAGCAATTTAATTAACATAAAAAACGCAGCTCGCACAATTCAAAACCATAAATCAAAAACCCGCACACGCCCAACACTAAACTAATACCAGGGCCCGCCAGCGGAGGACCTAAAAAAGCGCACACACACACATACCCTTCTTGAACGAGTGTTTGGCTGTGTGTGTGTGAAGTCCAGTAAAAAGTGCACCATGAAAGGGTTTGGAAAGAGAACAAAAAAAATGGGGGTAAAGAAAAAAGGAAACGTTTCTAATGAAACCCAAACTGCTAGTTACAGTCCACAGTTGCCGGCTCTTCTGGAAGTTATGCTTCACTCGATGTGGATCTGGATACCCACAAACATTTGTTTTTCCCACTATCGCTGTTCGTATTTGTACCCTTGCAGCGGGTATTACAAATCAGAGCAAATGTTTGCTACGCTCTGAAGGAAGTCTTTCTGCTGGGAGTAAGTATAAACGCACTTTGCTGCCTGCTAAACTTGTTATAAATCTTTTAAGAACGTTTATTAGGAACACAAAGTTTGAGGAACCTTTTTAAAGTACAACTAAATTAGTAATTGGAGCAATAGTTATGTTAAAAGGGTATGCAAAAGGAGCAAAGAGCGTCCCAAAAGCTACCCTTCTCTGCTTTCATTTGTCACAGCTCAACACCCCACGCTGCTGCTGGCTGACTTGTGGGGGGGTTCGGCGGCCCAACCCATAACCCGTTCGTGTCGTGTCCAGAGGGCATCAGCATAAACAAAGGACCCAAAGAGCACGCCAACATAATTTAGTTAAAATTCCTTCGTTCCGGGGCGTGGACTAAGCCGCAGCACACCTCACCAGAGGAAATGAAAAATGCTGATTATGGAAACGCGATGAGTAATTTGTTGTGTGTGTGTTATCGCAGCTCATTTGGCTGCACGGACCAGTGGGGCGGGGTCGGGGTAATATTAATTTTGGTTTAAAATCGGATTTTCGCAATTTTCATTTGCTAATTGCATGATGATTAAATTCAATTATAAATTAATTATGTGTAAGTTAATCAAATGTCCAATCAAATAATTTCGAATAAATAGTCAATCGATAAAAGGGAAAATAATTTATATTACGTTTCCAACTAATCGTTAGATAATAAACGATGTAAACATTAAATATTTTAGCTACCAGAATTAAATATA